GTGAAGCTGATGGGCAGTAGGTTGAGGATGGACAAAAGGAAACACTACTTTACACAGAGAGAGTGATGAAAATGTGGAAGAGGATGTCGTGATGGGTGGCCACAGGAATCAACAGCTTTAAAAAGGGGATTAGATAGATTCACGGAGGAGAGGCCTATCAGTGGCTTCTAGCCACGGTGACTGGGTGGAACCTCCACATTTAGAGGCACTAATCCTCTGAATCCCAGTGCCAGAAGGCAATTTAAGGTCTTGGCCAGAGGAACTGGTCCCTGCCAGTGTTCCCTCTAAGCTGAGTTAGTGTGAGCTAGCTCACAGTTTTTTAGCCTCCGGCTCACAGATTTTTGTCTTAGCTCAGGAAGGAGGGCTAACTCATTTATGCTGCAGCCAAATCGCTCGCTCACAACTTCAACGCCAGTAGCTAACAGAATATAATTTTTGCTCACAGGATTCCACAGCTTAGAGGGAGCCTTGCTGGCCAGAGGAACTGGCTGGCCACTGTGTGACACAGGATGCTGGACTAGAGAGACCACCGGTCCGATCCCACCAGTCCGATCTTCTGATGGTCTTAAGCATCCCAGGCAGTGTCCCCTCTAAGCTGAGCTAGTGCGAGCTAGCTCACAGTTTTTTTAGCCTCTGGCTAGAGATGTAAAATTTGCGGAAATTCTGAAGCTTGGAAAAAAACCTGGGTTAAAGTGTTAAAATGAAACGTTCTATCATTTTTTTTTCCTTTCTTTTTCTTTTTAAATTTTTTTCAATGTTTCCAATTTTTCGGAAAAAGACAAAAAAGGTTTCAGGAAAAAAACGGTTTCCCCCTGAATTTTTCCGGGCCTTTACATCTCTACCTCCGGCTCACACATTTTTGTCTCCGCTCAGGAAGGAGGGCTCCAGAGCAGACTAATCTATGCAGCAGCCCGATCGCTCGCTCACAGCTTTCATGCCAGGAGCTTGCAAAGTAGAATTGTTGCTCACAAGAGTCCACAGCTTAGAGGGAGCGTGGGTCACAGGGTGCGCAACTGCTACGCGAGAACACCCTGCCTGGAGCCCTGGCAATCGACACGGAAACTACGACCCATCCGAGCACAGGACTCGGGAGGTAACCCCACCCGTCTGCCACAGGCTTGCCAGCCACTGTCCTTCGGGGGGGGGGGGGGGGGGGGGGCAGAGAACAGCAGGGAAGCAAAGGCAGCTGCGTAAAACGAAACCTGCCCCCCCAGTGGGGGGCAGGCATCTGTCTGGAAGCGGCTGACCAAAAACAAAAAACAAAAAACCCAGAGCACAGTTTCCACTGTTAATTTTAAATGGGATGCATTAGACGGCATCAAGAGGGTGGCAAAGCGTGACCTCCAAAAGAGAGAGAGAGAGAGAGAGAGAGAGAGAGAGAGGAAAAAACGGGGAAAGAAGAGGCAACATGAGGCCTGGAGGGGATAGAGAGAGAGAGAGGGAGGGAGAACGAAGAGGAGGGGGGAGAACAGGGAGGGGAGAAAGAAGCAAGGGGGGGGAAAGGACAAGGGGGGGGGGGGACGGAGGGGGAGAAAGGCAGCCCACACTCCCCGTTCCCAGCCACAAACAGCTCCCATAGCAATGGAAAGCCAGCAGCATTAGCCAATTAAGGCTTGCGCTTTTAGCGAGGGAAAGTGGCCAGGGAGGGAGGCAGGGAGCGTCTGGCCACCACGGAGACCCTTCAATGTCACAGGGAGACAAGTCTGAAACTCGAGCACGCCGGAGAGGGGGCAGACCGATCCGGGAGGGTCGACTTTCACCCACTGCCGCTTCCCCCGGGGCACAGAGAGTTCCACAGGGGGGGGGGGGGGGGGGGGGGCGTCCTCTGACGCAGTGAGAGGGTTTGTGGTGCTGATGCAGACAGTTTCCCTGCTCCGGAGGCGAGTGGGAGGGGAGGAGGCAACTGGCCTTGCCTTGGGGCGTCTGGGACGACAGAGGGTCACGTCAGAAAGTGGGGATCGACTTGCAGGAGGGATGGCCGGGGACGAGAGGAAAGGCTTAAACCCCCCACGTGACGGAAGAAGACACCCAAAAGAAATGGATATATTTCGGGGGGGGGAAGCATAAAGACACCTTTGAGATGTCAGTGGATGGGGTGCTTCTACAGGAAGAAGACGAAAAGGAGGAGACTGGATTCACACCCCGCCCTTCACTCGGAGTCTCCAAGCGGCTTACAATCTCCTTTCCCTGCCTCTCCCCTCAACAGGCACCCCGTGAGGGTAGGTGGGGCTGAGAGAGCTCTCTCTCGAGGACTGCCCTTGAGAGAACGGCTCTTGAGAGAACTTGTGACTGACCCAAGGTCACCCCAGTGGCTGCATGTGGAGGAGTGGGGGGATCGAACCCGGTTCTCCCAGATTAGAGTCCGTGGTCCTAACCACTACACCAAACCGGCTAGAAGGGCAAAGCTTTCCTCCATTCTGGGGTAACCTGTTGCAACGTAACACGTGACCTGCCCAGCTTACAGTGCAGGGAAGCGGCTGGACCAGGATGAGAGAGAACCCAAATCCCCGGTCTGCCATGAAGCTTATGGGAAGACCTCGGCCCGGTTGTTCTCTCTCCACCTAAGTAACCTCACAAGGTTGCTGATCAAATGGGGAAACCATCCAGTCACACTGAGATCCTCGGAAGAAGGGCTAGAGAAACATGCAGCAGAGCTTTGTGAATGTGCCCCAACCGGTGTTCCCTCTAAGCTGAGTTAGTGTGAGCTAGCTCACAGTTTTTTAGCCTCCGGCTCACACATTTTTGTCTCAGCTCAGGAAGGAGGGCTCCAGAGCAAACTGATTCATGCAGCAGCCAAATCACAACTTCAATGCCAGGAGTTCACAAAGGAGAATTTTTGCTCACAAGACTCCACAACTTAGAAAGGACACTGGTCCCAATCCCCTTTTCAAAGCACATAAGACCACCCAGACTGGATCAGAACAAAGGGCCTCTTCCATTCACACAGCAGTGGCCACGAGCGCGAACAGCTTTAACAGGGGATTTGGCAGATCCGTGCAGGAAGAGAGGTCTGCCAGTGGCCGCTAGCTATGATGACTAAAGGAAACCTCCCTGTGCAGGGGCAGTCAATCTCTGAAGGCTACAGCTAGGACGCAATGGGAGGCAAGGCTAACAAACAGGGCATAAAGGCCAAGGCTGTCCAGGGCAATTCGTTGGTCACTGCGTGAAACAGGATCCTCACACCCAGCACGGCTCTTTTTACATTTCACCAGCATCCTGCTTCCCAACACTGGTTGGCCACATGAATACTGGGAAGCCCACAAGTTGGGCACGACATTTAATGCCCTCCCTTACCACCAGTTGATGCTCCGTAGTCAGTAGGAGTGTGCATTCAGATCTACCTGAGCCAAAAATCTACCCGAAAAATACCTTACCAGTATTTTTCGGGTAGATTTCGGCATCCCAAATGTATCCGGGTTTTCTCGGGGAAACCGGGGGGGGGGGATTCCTGGGGGGGAAATCCTGGATATATTCCAGAGTTACCGGGTAGATCTGAAAACAGCTGTTTGTCCAGCTTCAGTCCCTTTAAAGTTTAAAGGGACTGCAGAAGACAGCCTGTGCTGATGGGGAGAGGACTGTTCCTGTGGGCGTGGCTTAGGGCTGGTTTAAACCGGGCTGCAGGATAAACCAGCCCCAGGATCTGCTGTGCTGTCGGGAGCAGATTGCTCCCTGCGGGCTGAGCTTTGCGCGGACTTCCCCTGCAGCCCGGTTTAAGCTGGACTGCAGGAGAAAACAGCCCAGTCGGGATCTCCTGTGTTCATGGACAGCAGATTGTTCCCTGCTGGCTCAGATTTGCGCTGGCTTCACCTGCAGCTTGAGAACCGGGTTTGATTCCCCCCTCCTCCACATGCAGCTGCTGGGTTGACTTTGGGTCAGTCACAAGTTCTCTCAGAGCTGTTCTCTCATGAGCAGTCCAGGATTGGGCTGGCTTTTCTTCTTTTTTTAACGGGTATCTTTCCTCTCAGATCTATTGGACCCGGGAAAAAAATATTGGGATTTCAGAAAGATCCTAGGTCCCAATACCATACCGGTATTGGGAGAAGTGTTCCCTCTAAGCTGAGTTAGCGCAAGCTAGCTCACAGTTTTTTAGCCTCTGGCTCAGACATTTCTGTCCTAGCTCAGGAAGGAGGGCTCCAGAGCAAACTAACTTATGCAGCAGCCAAATCTCTTGCTCGTAACTTTAGTGACAGTGGCTCACAAAGTAGAGTTTTTGCTCACAAGACTCCACAGCTTAGAGGGAGCACTGACTGGGAGCTGGGATTTTTAGGACAGCCTGAAATTTTTCCAGGTCCAATAGATCCGAACCAAAAGAATACCAGCAAAAAATATTGTACGCCCCAGTGGTCAGCCTGCCTACAAACCATGGACGTTCTGTTCCAACCACACAGTTTGCAGACTTCTCTGCTGAAAACCCCCGTCAAAGCCATCTGAGCCAGATGCCATGGCCCCGCCTCGTGGCTGAAAGCTCTATCCATCAGAGATGCCCAGGGGTCATTTCCTGCAGGAGCGCACAGGAGCAGAACTCCGACAGTAAAGAGCCCAGGGGGCGGGCACATGCAACAAGCCCCACCCCCTGCCAGCAGCCCTCAGTCAGAGCAAGAAGCAGCCAGGTAAGCTGCAGAGCTCCCCCCGGCCCCCCGGTCCAAAACAGTCCAGTGGCACCTTTAAGACCAAGTTTTATTCAGGTACAAGCTCTCCCTCCTCTGCGAGGACAGATCTGCACGTTCCCCCCCCCCAATAGCTAGCAATCCAAAACAGTCCAGTGGAGCCTGAGCGGTGGGTGTTGCCTTCTGACACACTTCCGGTGATGTCAGGGGGTGTGGCATATGCAAATACGTTATGCTAATGAGTTATGCTAATGAGCGTCTACAACCTTTTTTCTACGAAATGACCGCTGATACTAACAAGCTTTATTGTAGCATAAGAAACACAGCTCTCTCTGTCAGGTGCACGCCGAAGAAGAGAGCTGTGAGTCTCGAAAGCTTATGCTACAATAAAGCTTGTTAGTCTTAAAGGTGCTGCTGGGCTTTTTACTATTTTGCAGCAACAGACTTGACACGGCTGACTCCTCTGGATCTACTCTGACTGGCAGCAGTTCTCCAGGATCTTGGTAGAGGTCTTCCAGTTCACCTACTACCTGTCCTTTATTTTAAAAATGAAAATGCACACTGGGGATTGAACCTGGAAGAAGGAGGAGGAGGAGATTGGCTTTATACCCCGCCCTTCACTACTCAAAGATGTCTCAGAGCGGCTTACAAACTCCTTTCTCTCCCCCTCCCCACAACAGACACCCTGGGAGGTAGGTGGGGCTGAGAGAGCTCTTGACAGAAACTGTTCTTTTTCAAGAACAGCTCTTCTCAGAACTACGGCTTGCCCAGAGTCATCCAGCAGCTGCGAGTGGAGGAGTGGGGAATCAAACACGGTTCTCTCAGATTAGAGTCCGCGCACTTCACCATGACACCAATGCTGGGGATTGAACCTGGAACCTTCTGCGGGCAAAGCAGATGGCTCTACCAGTGAGCCATGGCCTCCACCATGCCCCCTAAAGGAATAAGAGACCCTGCCAGGTTTTTTCGGAGAGGAAGAGGGTTTGCCCTGGTTAGTATTTGGATGGGAGACCACCCAGGAAACCGCAGAGTCACTCTGCAGAGACCAGCGATGGCCAACAACCCCTGAACGTCTCTTGCCTTGAAAAGCCTACGGGGTCGCCATATGCTGGCCATGAGTTGATGCCAAGAGAAAGAAGGGGGGCGGGGGGATGGCCTAGCTGTTCATTCATGAGCTGTTCATACATGACTGCTTGCAATTCAGCCAACTGATCTGCTGCTGCCATCGTCTGGCCAGAAGGGGGAACTGTTCTGGTGCCCGAGCATGCAAGGAAAAGATGCTTCAGGAAGGGGATCCCATTTCCCCCAAGATCTGGGTATTATCTGCACAATCTGCAGCATGGCACAATGGGGGAGGAGAGACGTTAAGGGGAGAGCCAGATCCTTCTGACGACTCACGGAGGTCTGCGGGAGCCGCAAGAAAGGAAACCCCCTCTCCAGGCCGTTTGGAGAACTCAGCACGGAAACAGAATCGCAAAATGCTTTGCGTGCTGAAAGCCACCGCCGGAAAGCTCACCTCGAACAGATAGGCGTAGAAACAATGGGAGAAGAGGGCCAGTGTCCCGTGAGAAACTTGAAAGCAGAGAACAAAAGGAAACCTCCGCCACAGGGGTCCCCAATATTTTGGAGCATGTGGGCACCTGTGGAATTTTGACACGGTGTTGTGGGCAGAGATGCAAAATGGTGTCAGCTAAGCTGCCATGAGTGTGGAGAGGCCTTCTAATTGTTTTGCATTCCTTCCCATGCACGTAATTGCTACTCAGCTGCAACGCTTATCTGTAAAGAGTTACTGGAGGGGATTGTGGTGTCTATCTTTCGTGGGAGCTTCTTCGTTCCCAGCTTCGCGCCCGTTAGACAGCCTTGCCATCTCCCACGTGCGGGAGTCCACCTAACTGGGTAACGCTGGGGGGGGGGCATACAAATGCCCTATATCCTATTATGCGCATAGGTAGCCTGCCATTCCTAACAGTGTTCATGTTAATGCATCTATGGCTTTTCAATAAAAGTAAAACCTTCCAGGAAGCGTGTACTTCGTTGTTTTGCTGTGGATCCTGACAAATGGCTGCCCCAAGAGGCAGGGCCAGCCGCTGCTTATCTTCGGTCGCACAGTCTTTGTGCACAGTGCTGCTGTCAAAGCAACATTTTGAAGGGAAAAAAAACGATCTGGCCAATCAAATCTCCAATGACCATGCTTAAAAACCTGCAAAGAAGGAGAGCCATCCTCCTCCCGAGGAAGCCTGTTCCACCGAGGAACTGCTCTACCCGTCAGGGAGTACACTTGGGTTCACAACCAGAGAAACCGTTCCCCAAATTCCAAAGCCTGTGTCTGGTTTCACGCAACCCGATGTGCAAATGCTACAGCAGAGAATAACGCTCAGAGTGGGAAGGGTCCTAATAGGCCCTCCCCCCCAAGCAGCCCCACGCTCAGTGCAGGAAATCCACAGGTAGAACATCCTGGACAGATGACTATCTATCCAGCCCTTGACCAGAAGGGAGATATACCTCCCCCAAGCAAAGCAGTTCCATTACTGTGGTTCCCAATTGGGGAATTTCTCATAATGTTCAACCGAAATCTTAACAGCCTTGCCCTGCAAAGTAGAAACAACAGAGAGGTCACGGGAAGGATGCAAACCATGAAGAGAACAGCCGTGATGTATAATGAAAATATATATTTAGACTGCTGTTTTGCAGTGAGTAGTATTTCATCAACAAGATGTACGCATCCCCACTAACGGAATTTGCATAGACTCCCATTTCACATAACCGCTTTATCTAAGTGTGCTGCATGAATAACATTGGTTTAAAAACGTAAAGGTAAAGGTTCCCTTGCTCGAAAGCCAGTCAAATCCGACTCTAGGGTTGCGGTGCTCATCTCCGTTTCCAAGCCGAAGAGCCAGCGCTGTCTGAAGACATTTCCGTGGTCATGTGGCCGGCATGATTAAACACCAAGGCGCACGGAACGCTGTTACCTTCCCACCGAAGTGGTACCTATTT